TACGGCTAAGCTCAACATCACTCTTCCATGAATATTTTCTATTGAAACAAAGTATCTGGCCAAGACAGGTGGGCTGTCAGATGTCACGTGTGGTGAATCTACAAAGCCTGGGCATGTTTAAACGTGATTATGACTTTGAACAGAATCTGGTTTACTGAATGACTGCAGTAAAGATTTGTCAAGTAGCAACATGAAACGGTATAAAATGGAGGGGATATGTGTTTTATTCAGGATTGGAGAAGGCAGGGAGCTGAGTAATAGCGACTGGTCAGAGATCAAGAAGAAAAGAGCAAGAATAGTATTTATCTTCAAATTTTGCTTAGAGATTGAGTATATTTGAAAAGAAAGTCCCTGTTGAGTTGTTTCTGATTTGGGGACCTTTAAGTGGCTTGGTAGTAGGATGAACAATGGCAGACAGTTCCCTTCAGGGTGAGATTTAAGGAGGAATAGGAGGAATGTTGAGGAGGAGACAAATGGGTGGTGATCTTGGTAAGAAGGAAAAGGGGCAAGATCAGAAGACAATGCCAGAGCTCAAAACCCTTGAAGGAATTTTGGGTTTGAGAGAGAGAATAGAGGAGGAAGAAAGAACAAAGTGCCCTCTGGGCTGACCTAGATGTGGCCCATAAATAAATCACTGTACTCAGTTTTACATAGTTTTGCTAGGCGGCCACCTGAGGGCGCTCTATGCTACACAGCTGGGAATCTAATTTTCCCCCATCAAGTAAACTATATATCCTCAATTTGCTGAAGGATAAACTTAGGTAATGCCTTAAATAAGGGTACTCATTGAAAGTGGGGGCCAAAAGCAATTCTTCCTCCCTATTTTTCTCTTCAACTAGATTAATGAATGAGCAAGACTGACCTCAATTTAAATCCCTGGGTAATTGCAAGGATTAAATACAATAACCTCAGTTAAATCTATTTAGCATTTAGTAGATATTTAATAAATATTAGCTCCCTTCCATATATATGCACATCCTGACATACAAATTTGCCAAATACAGGAACAAGAGAAGGGACATAAAGAGGAATCGCACCAACCCTTTATCTCTCCAAAGGAGGCAGGGCTCAGAAATCCTGAAATGAATACAAAGCTAGGCTAGGAAATCATTCCAGAGAGCAAATTTCTGCTGCTCCTTTCATTGCATGTTACTGCTTGTACATAATAACCAGAGGGAATAGAACACAAACAGCTGGGAAATAAAGATGAAAGCAAAACTGTATCAGCAGGGAGAGACACACAACCCCCTGAGAATCGAGCGGTGTCAGGAAAGATAAGCTGAACAAGGTCAGCTGCGTGGTATTTATCTTCTGAGAGAAAGATCATTAGACTCCTGCCCATTTCTGATCGTCTCTATTGGGGTCAAGGTGGAGAATGAAATACATGGGCCCCAGTTTTCAAAGTTCTACACTAAAGTCCTGTTCCTATAATGAAACAGAGCTATGGACAAAAGCATGCATCACTATAAAAGCCAACTGTGGGAATTTAGATGTCTGAAAACAAAAGAAATTCTACTTCCCCTTGCAAATGGAGCAGGTTGAGGTTTCCCCAACTCCCGGGTCCTCTGTAGCACGTTTTGTGGCCTTCTGCTGCCCTCTAGTGTCTTTTTAAGGTATAGTAAAACATAAGGAGGATTAAAAAAAAAAAATTCTCCCAATAATCCTAACCAGCCAATAATGTGACTTCAGTCCAGGACTGGCAAAACAAACAAAAAACAGTAAAATTCTGAAATAAAAGCAAAACCAGTATTTATACAAAAATTTAAAAGTGAGTTAAATTTGGCCTCAACATAGATCTTGCATTATTTCAGGACTCTGTAGCACATGGCATCTCTATCAGTCAATGCACTTAAAAAAAAAAAAAAAAAGATGCCTGTTGTTTTCTGCACATCTCTCTCAAATGATTATTGCCTTGGTTGGTGTCAGATAGGATCCAGAAATCTGCACTTCACAAACATCACTGCATGATTCTCATGTAGTTAAAATTGGCTGACCTTCCTTTGAGAAGCACCAAAGATAGTTGCAATGACTTTCAGCAGGGTGGAGAGTAAATCTGATGTTTTCTTTAATTCTTTAAGAATACAATCTATTGACCAAAATAAATCAACTTTATTTTTCCTGCAGCTCAATGCTACGTGATTAGTATGCAAAGAAAACGCTGCTGTCTATGTCTGCGCAAAGAGTTCATGTAGAAGTTCTCCTTTATGAATAAACCCCTCTAAAATCCAGTAGCTATCCAGGTGGGAAAAAGAAACAATGCCTTGTTGCTCTTACTCACCCTTCAAACATCCCTCAAGCATTACTGCCACAAAAAAAGCTTTCCAGGTGATCCCAGCTTCGTTTCAATGCCCCACTACAGCTCCACAGCATCCTGTCCTTCTCTGTCCTACAAGTGCTCCTTCAATGCTAGTGTTCTCCTAGAGACAGAGAGCTTTCCATTGCAGAAACCCTGTTGTGCTCTTTCCTAAGTCAATGCTCCGTAAATACTCATGCTCTGGCCAACGCCCACAGCCACACTTACCCAAAGTGGTGATGATGGGAGACAAGAGACATCAGGTCCCACAGCAGGCTGTCCTCAAACTCCCTCTAGCTGATGGTGCACATGATAAGAGGCAACAGGGGATGACTGTTGCCATTGGATCACACACCCAATTTATCAGCCCAAACTTGGACTCATTTTAGAAACTTGCTCTTACTTTTCCACAACGCAGAAGGTATTATTCTATACTAATGATTAGCCCCTTCACATGGGAAATTCACAAGAAATTTTAATTATGCTTTTTTAAAAAACACAAGTACAGTGAGTTCATGACTATATATCTTAATATTACGTAATATGCCATTTTTAAATTCATAAAGTGTTTTTTTCTTTATTATGGGCAAAGCCTGTTTTATCTTCAGAGTCATGCATCATTTAATGCTTTAATAAAAATTAACTCTGAAGTACTTAGATGTGTTAAGTACCCCCACCAGAAGGAATCCTGGACTACAATCTCCTATTACCTTCACTTCCATTTGTTAATGAAAAATACGCAGATATTTACTTCTCAGGAGACAGTGTCCTAACTATCTGAAGAAATACAATCCATTGTTTAGCATTGCTTCTCTGAACCCTCAATGTGTATGTGCATAGCACATACTTCAACCAATTATGAACTGCTTTTTTTTTAGCCATTTTAATCTCCAACAGAGTATCCCTAATTTCCCGAGAAGTTCACTTATACTTACTGATGTCTCACCTACACAAACAGGGCACTTTTTGCTTTAGCTTTGGTGGCTTGGTCAACACACTGAATTTTACAATCTCTCCCTTTCTTTTGACAATTACCACCTGAGCTCACTGTGCTAAACAGGGAGGGGCACATGAAAAGTACAGAAGAAAAAGCACTTCAACCAGAGAGAATAAAGAGAAAGGTTTGGCCTGTAAGAAGCACTTCTTTGAATTTCATTTTATTTTTTGAGCCAAGCTATTAGATTTGTGGGTACAAATAAGATCTCTTTGAAGATAACGAGAAGCCCACTGTGAAAGAAGGGAGATGACCATTCCTACACATTGTATGTGTTGAACAAATGAAGTCCCAGGATTCAAAATATATTCTGCAATTACAGAAAGTGAAACACTTTTCTTTCTCCTTTCACCTTATTTAGAAAGAGCATTTTTCTCTAGAAAGAGTTCTGTTGAGGCTGGGTGCAGTGGCTCACACCTGTAATCGTAGCATTTTGGGAGGCCGAGGCGGGCAGATCACCTGAGGTCAGGAGTTCGAGAGCAGCCTGACCAACATAGCAAAAACCCGTCTCTACTAAAAATACAAAATTAGCCAGGCGTGGTGGCGGGCTCCTGTAATCCCAGCTACTTCAGAGGCTGAGGCAGGAGAATTGCTTGAACCCGGGAGGCAGAGGTTGAAGTGAGCTGAGATTCTGCCACTGCACTCCAGCCTGGGTGACAGAGCAAGACTCTGTCTCAAAAAAAAAAAAAAAAAAAAGTTAAATTTTATCTTTCCATTTTCCTAACTCCCCTCCCCAATGTATCTACCTTTTGAATCAAAGGGAAAGATCCCATCAATAAAATGAGCAACTCTTTCCAAGAAAAATTATGCCTGCAATGACATCTGTGGGGCTTTGTGATGCATCAGGATAGAGCAAAGAATCCATGGGGTTGGGGGAGGGTGTTGGTGTTGTTTTATCCCTGGGCAAGTCATTCAAACCTCAGATTTTCTACATTGAGAATAACATGCTAATAACACCTTCTGGAATGCCTGTTGTAGTGTTAAAGGAGATGGGATACACACATATATTCTTAGTGAATCACAAAGTGTGATTCAAATAGAAACTTCAGTCATTTCTCTTCTATTATTGACATGTTTTCTCAGCATTTTGTCACGTACATTTGAGAAATGAAGTATCAATAAGGAAGAGAAACGTATGTTAAGACTTTCTTAGCAGCTGGTGAAAGAAGCATTCCCGTGTGTGTGTGTGTGTGTGTGTGTGTGTGTGTGTGTGTGTGTGTGTTTGTTGGGATGGGGGATAGAATTCACTGTTGTAGACACAGGGTATCTAAGGCAGGCTCAACTCCTGTCGGTCAGGGAGTCTGACAGTATCTAGGAAACCTTACCAAGGAAAGAAAATTAATAAGCTCTAGAATAAGCTCCTATATATGTGGTTCCCTGACTCCAAATCAGTTGAAAACTATTGGGACTTAAGTAACTTACAAATGCCTTTTTAATAGCCAGACTAGTATTATATTTTTCTAACTTTTTACATTTTAATCATGCATGCTTTCTTAGGTGCGGCATTTTTTGAGCTGTTATTAAAAATACATAGGTTCCTACCACATTAAAGGGGAGCAGAGACTTGTGTGTTGTATTATTAATTATGTGCTGAAAATGAAATTCTGGTCAGTCTTTGCAGAAGGTACAAACACACTCCTAAGCAAAGGATTTCCCATGTGAAGGGAGACCGTGAGGTGCAAGGCTGGCTACTCGGACTTAACATGCACTTACTCTTGAGGTCTAAGTTCCTGGCTCCGGCGGTGATTTGCGTTGTGATTTTTGTGTCAATCTTTACAGTGTGGAGGTTGCTGGTGTCCCTTGATATCATCACATTGTGCCACTGATTGTCATTGAGAGGTTTATTTGAGCTTCCTTTGATGAGGTTAGCACCATTTCCCAAATCAAACACGTAATGTAAGTACCTGGGAAAAAAATGAAAGGGGAAAGTGCCATCACTTTTTAAATTTGATGAAGCTAAAGTAGATATTACAAATGGAGATTTTTTTTTAAAGTGGTTCCATCCTTACTAGAAGTCATGACAATGAATTACATAGAAAGTCAGCTATCAGGAAGGTAACAAACATTATTCTGTTTCAGCAAGGAGGATTATTAAGTGTCTTCACTAAAGGAAATGGTGAAAATTATTTTTAAAATCATAGTCTACATTTAACTTTATGAATTTGGAAAGTAATCTTTCACCACACATTTCCTATTTCCATAATTCCCTCCATCCTTTTCTAACCACTGAAATGGCCATTCTTCTCATTCTTGCACCTGCTTTTCTCCTCTATCTCAATTCCCTGTTTGAGTATAGGGAATGTGTACTCATCCTTCGACAACCAGATCAAACAGCCACTCCCTGCTCCACATGTTTTTCTAATTTCCCTGAAGACTCTCCTGAGCCTTTGCATGTGATCATCTCAAGAAACATGTCACAGTGCTTTTCTTTTCTATTTATGTGTTCATCTACAAACCCTAGGATTGTGTGTTGGTGTGTGTGGGTGTGACTCGGGGTGGTAGAAATCTGAGATGTACATAAGGGTGGTAGAAGTATATATATTTATATCTGTGCATGGCACGTGATGTAGCATATTGTAAATATGGAATAATATTTGCTGAATGAGTGAATAAATGCTCCTATCAATTAAAATACATTAAATTTTCCTCACAGTTTTAAGGAAAGTTTACATAAATCTTCCTTTCTAAATTCACTGAGGAACTCTGACATAGAATGAAGTTTGAGTTAAAAGGATTTTTTGAAATTTAAATAATCTGCATATTGAATTGGCTATTTAATTTAGCTTAGACTATCCTACAAACTTGTAGCAATGCTTTTGTGGAATTACACTGTGCGTAGTCAGGAAGTGCCCAATTGAATCGTAAGATTCATGAAAGGCCTACCATAAATTAGAGCCTGATGTACTTTGTACCTCGTATGTGAAAATGTAGGTGCAAAAAACTGTCCTGAATCCATATTAATTTAAGATACCTAAGAGGTGATTTAAACAAATGCATTCTTATTTGTCCTCCACCTACTCCGGCCCCCCGCCTTATGAGCCAGTGTGTTCTTCTTAGTGTATATTTTTGGAAACTGATGTCCGTTTTTCCAGTTTTATTTCTTTGTTACTGAACAGGCACGTACTCACCCTTTAACTAATTCAACCACAATAAAGTCATTTCCATCCCCACTGTTATATAGAATTAGTCCATCTAGGGATGTTGTCTTGAACTGGAAAAAAAGATGCATAGAAGTGTAGGCTTGCAAGGTAGCTAAGGCAACATAGCTCGATTTGGTCTTGAAGGTGACAGGATCTGCTATGATGTTCCTGAAGCCAAATCTGGCATTGAGCTCACAGTAATCTATGTCGCCATTTTTACACAGATCAATGTATGCCATTCCATTAAATGTCAGGCTCTGCAGGTGTCCAATGAAGTTGGAGGGGACAGAAGAAAGATACCGTCGTTCTGTGATGATGCCAGTCTCTATGTTATGGAACTCCAGCCTAGTATGATCACCTGCCATTTGACCTAAAAGAGAAGATAATATAAGATTATTTTCCATATCTGAAAGGCACTTTCAACTTTAGGCTTTCATAGCAATATCACATTGTAAAATACAAGGAGCCAAATACCTCCTTGGTACTCAGTTGTATATAGTAAGAACACTTAAATGATGCTAAAAGGTAAACCTGGATTATGTAATAAAACATTCTAAGGACAGGTTTTAATCTGTCCAAATTTTAGTCTTAACAAAAAATTCCTCATTAACAAAAGTAATGGTATTTTAAAATTTATTTTATTTTATTTTATTTATTTATTTTATATATTTTTTGAGACGGAGTCTCGCTCTGTCGCCCAGGCTGGAGTGCAGTGGCACGATCTGGGCTCACTGCAAGCTCCGCCTCCCGGGTTCACACCATTCTCCTGCCTCAGCCTCCAGAGTAGCTGGGACTACAGGCGCCCGCCACCATGCCCGGCTAATTTTTTGTATTTTTAGTAGAGACGGGGTTTCACTGTGTTAGCCAGGATGGTCTCAATCTCTGGACCTCGTGATCCAGCTGTCTCAGCCTCCCAAAGTGCTGGGCATGAGCCACCACGCATGGTAATGGTATTTTTTAAAGGCGAAAAATAAACAAATTAGCAAGAGAGTGAGGAAACAGTAAAAGAAAGAGGGAGGAAAAAGGGAAAGAAGGGAGGGTGCACAGAGACACGCATTAGGGGCAGTGATTATTCTCAGGCATCCCACTAGAAAGTGATATATCTCAGCTTCATGGTTAGGTAATGTTATTCCTTATAAATGTTCTTCCAGGAAAAAAAAAAAAAAAAAAGACTATATAGTTCCTTATACCCAATAGAAACAGTGGAGAGTTGCAGCCCTTTCTTCCAGTAATGAAACATGAAAGTGTGTTTGAAGTTAAATATATACTATTCACTTTCCCTCTTCATGCTCAATAATGGCCACAGTTTTTGTTCACGTTAGTCTTCTAAACACATTAGAAATCGTGTTGATTTCTGGACCTATGCCATTTTTTTGGTCCTTAATTTTTGTATAACTAAATTGAGCAAAATACACTAATTGAAAGCCTGCCCAATTTTGATAATACCAGTAAAATTAGCCCACCATGCTCCATACCACAAGGCAAAAATCTTTAAACATCCTAGGATGAAGCTTGGATGCAAATTTATTTAGCAATTGACTATTCCATTCAGTCCTCATTTCTTTCTATCCCTCCATATTTCTCTGTCAAACCCATTAATAGCAAACTTAGTCCCGTCTTTATCTCCCCAGTGATCATTTTACCTGTTTGCAAGGTTGAAGGTAAGATAAATAAGCAAAGATGTGAACTTGTTTTCTAAATATTACAACACAACATAAATATAAAGTACTTGTATCAGTACTAGTGGTTCACACCCAACATCTTGCTCTTATCTAAATAAACTGTCAGTCACTCTCTTCTGCAACTAAAAATGTTCACTTATGTTGTAATCAAGTTCTTCCAGGTGCTAGCTTCCCCACCCGATTTGCCATAATTGGAAAATGTATCAAGTTAAGCCATTCCATCATCCATGTTAATGAAAATATTAATTAGAGCTAATCCTAGAATCAGCCCCTGACAAAATGCATTGAACCTTTTCTCCAGGGGTAGTGAAGACTGAACAACCACCTATGTGTGTCCCCTTCAGCCAGTCTGACAAATTTCCATCTCTATAGTCAAGACAGTAAAATATTAGATAGCATTTTAAGGAAACATCTGTAAGTAAAATTTCGATGGCATGCTTTTTGTTGTGCAAGAAAAATTGTTTATATATTTGGTTAATTGTCTTTGATGATTATACATGTATTTATGCACAAAACTCCCCTGAACTGTACTTAACCCTATTTCATTTTCAAACACTCTTTATTAGTTTTAATCCTGGAAACAACATTCTACTCATCCTTGGCATGTTCTCTTTTCAGTCATTGGCTTGTTCTGATTCCCTTTCTGCAAACATTTTTAAAACAAAAATGTCACCATAAATAATTGTTTCGTTTCTTCCTACCCTCACCACCATACCTCCTGATTGTCTATCTGATGCAAAAGTACCATTACATCCTTGCCAGTTCTGGTTTTTCCTGTGACATCATTTCTATCTTCTCCCTCAGTTCTTCCTGTTCAATGACCTCAATATTGTTCTGTGGGGATCTACTTCTTTGGTAACAAATAAAATTAATATTTAATTATTTCCAAATATAAATCTCTAAAGACACCAGCAACATTGAATTAAGAAGCTAAGTACAATGAAGAATATGAGAAGCTTAAAAAATGGGCTAGGCACGGTGGCTCATGCCTGTAATCCCAGCACTTTGGGAGGCCTAGGCAGGTGGATCACCTGAAGTCAGTAGTTTGAGACCAGCCTGGCCAACATGGTGAAACTCTGTCTTTACTAAAAATACAAAAAAATTTGCCAGGCATGGTAGTGGGTTCCTGTAATGCCAGCTACTCGGGAGGCTGAGGCAGGAGAATTGCTTGAACCTGGGAGGCGGAAGTTGCAGTGAGCCGAGATGGCGCCATTGCTCTCCAGCCTGGGCGACGGAGCAAAACTCCGTCTAAAAAAAGAAAAAAAAAGTCATGTGGGCCTTGCCTTGATTTTTATTCGATGCTACATTAAAATATGAGCCTTAACTCAGTGAACCCTACCCTGATTCTGAAATTACCATGTTTCATCTTAAAGGCTCTATTAATGAAACAACCAATAGTAAAAAAAAATTCTGAAAAAAATATTTCTAACACTTGAAATTAAACATTACCCCCAGTTGTCAAGTTCTTAGCAGCTCTAAAAAAAGGAAACACCAGTTAATTCCAGACTAAGGAGTTCAGCAACAAAAATAAGACAGTACCCATTTTCCTTTCTCAAAGGAATAGGATATGCACAGAGAGCACAAATAATAAAAAGGTAGTAAAACTGCATTGAAGCAACTATGGCCCAGTTACATGAAAAAAAACATTATAATTGCAGTAATGGCAGATATATTTGTTCATTGGGGATAATTAGCTCCCAAAACCCATTATTTGATGACTAAGAAAATATTAACTAATTGTTGCCTTCTTTAAAAAACATTATTTTTTCTCAGGATTTTACTCCAATGTTTAATCCTCATCAGTAATATAGCCGCTTCTACTACTGTAGATATTTGTTGATTAAATAAGAAAAAAATTATAAGACTTTGAAGGGGAAAGATTTTAATGTTCTAATCATTTAAAAATGCACTACCCAAGGAGAATTTGGAATTAGCAAAATGCCTCTGATCAAAATACCTAAGGTATAGCAGATTGACAATAATCTCCAACAAGACAACAACCAAAACATGTTTCCTAGATGCTGTGCTTGTATAGAAATCTCAATATTTCCAAGTCAAATATTTTTACCAAAGTAGATAGCAAGGTTAATGTGTGTTCTGTGTTAGGTTACATTTCTCATGTCGAGCAAAATAACCCTCCCTTATGTTCACTTGTTAATTCACCTAAAATTACTGATTGTGTGGTATATGTGTCAGGTGCTAGCCTTCGTATTGGAGAACTAGTGTTGAGAGGAGCAGAAAGGGCCCATTTTCTCCAAACTCAGGGTCTATTGGAGAAAAGCAGACAAAAGAGGTAAGGATGTAATTAAATATATAATAACAAAACTCAGAGAAATGCTATGAATTTCATGAATGGGGTATTGTGCTGCTTAATGTGAAATGGAAGAAGATGCCTAATTTGATATTTAAGCTAGATTTGAAGAATTAAAAAGAGAAAGCTATGCTAAGAATCAGAGAAAGGCAATCAAGGGTGGATTCCAGGAAGGGGAGACGAATGAAGGAAGGCTTCTGGATGAGAAACAGCTAGAGAGCATGGCTGGGGAACTGGGAGCAAGTAGGTTGGTGACTCACATGGAATTGAAAGGAGTGGGAGTGCCAGAGTCCAGATTTCTCACAGTGCTTCTTATATTCAGAGCTAAGGAGGATTTGAAGCAGGGGTTAACCATGACTCGTGTGTGTGTGTGTGTGTGTGTGTGTGTGTGTTTATTCCCTTTATGGGTGCAAGATGTTGGATAGTGAACTATGGCAGCTATAGTAGAAATGAAAATCATCAACAAAAAGATAATTTTACAGATATAATTTCTAGGGTTTACTAATGATGTACAGAATGATAGAAATGAAGGGAATGGTGATGCCTGGCTTCCAGGCTTGGGTAACTGGATATATGTTGAACGCTGTTCCATAAAGGACATACACACAGAGATATAAAAAACACAATTCTAGAATTTTTTAGACAGACTGGATGATGAGTTGAAGCCCAGTGACTTTCCACTTAGGGATTCCACATAATTCGTACAACCCCTTGTCATCTACGACCTAGGAAATCTCCTTCCTTGGGCTTCTCTGCTGGCAACTACTATCCTCATGACCCTAGGTGATGTGCAAACATTCCCAAGAACAGCCTGAATATGTACTGCCCTGTGTTCCACAGATACCTGACTTAATAGAATTACTATAAAACTTAAAGATATGGGAAAATGTAGGACTTTGCATGAGGAGTCTCTAGTAGTTTCCTTTTGAAAATTCTTCTCATTCGGTGATTTCTGACTTGCTGTAAAATGTAATAAGAAACTCCCATTGCTTCTCTGATTTATGGGTGGCTTCAAGTGGCCAGTAGGATATTTGAAAGAAATCTCAATCTAAAGCTTTCATTGCCACATTTGGAAGCCTTTTATGTACTATGTAAATCAAGGCTGAATCATTCTTATGAATTGTTGGCTTTCATGAGATCTCTAACAAAAAAGGAAGGAAGGAAGGAAGGAAGGAATGAAGGAAGGAAGGAAGGAAAAAATCAACAATGTACCAAAGTTATTTAAAAAATAACTCAGCATTTGATGTTAAGTCTTAGGAAGAAATAAGACAAATAGTCATAAACTAATCCTGACTTGTTAGTTGGTTTATTGACTGTAGTGGTATGGGCAAAGCGATTTTGAAACTATTCTAGATGCATTATTGGATTAAGCAAATGAATAAATGACATTACTGGGAGCCAGGATTCTCATCTCGGACGAAAACACATGTAAGTATGGAATGGGAAAAATAAACAATGCTGTAGGTATGAAGGTAACAGTGTAAACTCACACTTTATAAAATGTGTGTGTGTGTGTGTAAACTCACACTTTATAAAATGTGCGTATGTGTATATTTATGTGTACATATAATGTATATGTCTGTGTGTACATACATTTACATGTATGTTTGGGTGTCGGTATATATACTTGAATACATTTCCTATCTGTCTGCTGAAGGGGTTAAGAAGCAAAGATACCCCAGTAGCATTGAGGACACCTACCACCCAAATCTTGATCTATATCATTCCTCATAAATGGTAATTAAATGGCTAATTCTAGGGGCGAAGTATAGTAGATAAAAGTTGTAACTGGAACATCCTGTTATTTCAAGAAGTAAGAAAAGGGCCAGGCACGGTGGCTCATGCCTGCAATCCCAGCACTTTTGGAGGCCAATATGGGCGGATCACCTGAGGTCAAGAATTCAAGACTATCTGGCCAACATGGTGAAACCTCATCTCTACAAAAATTAGCTGGGCATGGTAGCACACGCCTGTAATCCCAGCTACTTGGGAGGCTAGGACAACAGAATCACTTGAACGTGGGAGGCAGAGGCTGCAGTGAGCTGAGATCACTCCACTGTACTCCAGCCTGGGCAACAGAACGAGACTCCATATCAAAAAAAAAAAAAAAAAAAAAAAAAAAAAAAAGAAAAGAAAAAAAAGAAAAAAGAAAAGAAAAAGAAAACAAAAAAAGAAAGTACTAAAAAAAAATGAAGGCATGTCATGAGATCATAGAGGCCAACTTAATGAAATTCACACTGGCAAAAATTGAAAAAAACATTTGGGCACCAAAATCATAAGACAGAGTAATTATGAAGTATTATAAAAACATAGCAATAGTGGGTCTACAACAAAAAGAAAAAAAGGAAAGGAGGAAGACAGAAAAAAAGAGAAATGAAAAGAAAGACCAATTAAAAAAAAGAAAGAAGGGAGAGAGAAGAAGAGTCCTTGCTTGCAGCAGAATGCTAAGCATTGACTGTAAATGTGGAAGGAGTGCTGGAGTTTGAAAATAATCAATTTTTGTAACTCTCAGTGCAAAGACTGAATCAAGTAAAACTCTCCAGTAGATACTAAATCTAGGGCAAAATTGTGATGAGGTACAGGATATGTGCATGGTCTTAATATCTCCCCATAGACAGTTTACTAGTTGAAAGGGACAAATCGTGGTAATTATAAAATGGAGAAAATGGACAACACGTTGACCTAGTGGTCAAATTAAATCACCAAAGACATGGGCAGCATGTGCTCCGATGGGATACTGTACAGAGGACATAACAACAGCAAAGCAGTATTTCATCCAATAATGTAAAATACACATTCAATCATGAGGAGACATCAGATAAACATAAACTGAGTGACTTTACATTAATACAAAACAGGAAGAGATTATATACTTCAACAATGTTAATGTAATGAAAACAAAGAACGTTCATGGAAATGTTCTGGATTAAAGGAGGCTAAAGAAACATGACAACTTAAAAAAAAAAAAATAGCTGGCCCTAGACTGCACACTGTGCTGGAGGGGAAAAATGCTTATAGCATATTAATAACATTGAATCAACTGACAAAGCTGGAATATGGATGACAGATTAGAAAAATAAATTGTATCTATGCAAAGTTTACTGAAGTCAGTGGCTTTTATTTCTTAAATAAGGGGATATTCCCATTAAAAATATATATATATATGGTGAAGTATTTCAGGTTAAAGGGACATTGTGTATGTAACTTACCCTCAACTGGCCAAGAGAAAAGTAAGAAAGAGAGAGAGAAGAGACAGTGAAAGAGCACAAATGTCAAAACAAGTTGGCTTAAATGTTCACAATAGTAAAGCTATAAGGGTATTCTTTGTATTATTTTTGGAACTTTTTGTAAATTTGAAATTATTTTGAAATAACTTTCTAAAATAAATTTCTTAAAAAAATGTTTTTCACCATTCTTCGGTTTTCATCCCTGGTACATCCACTGCAGTAAAGGACTTATTACTTTATATCCTGGACCATCTAAAACACTACCACATAATTAATTTCGCTCAAAACATATTTTCTCCATTTACTCTTCAGTTTAAATGCAGTGACTTCCAATTTCCTGAAAGTCTACGAAATATGAACTCCTTCATCTAGACCATCAACTCATTGGCCTCAAAAGGCCATTCTAGCCATGCCCACCGCCATATGTTTGCAAGAAGCAAAATAAAGCTTCTTAGTTCCCTGAACATTACTCTAGCCCCATCAGCATCATTCTTTCTTGTGTGGAATTCTCTCCTGCATTATCCTTTCTTTAAAGCCTAGATCAAGTATTATCAATTGCTTTAACAATACCTGAAACCATGTTCCTCAACTTCTCTTCTGAACTCCAAGACCATAAAGTACTCACATCAACCATTCAGTAGTTCATCCATTACTCTATGTAACATATCATACTCCATAATAATCTGTGTTTTATATGTATGTGTGTATTTTCCTTATAATAGCATGCATTGTCTAAGAAAATACTTTCTATAGAGCCATACACTTACTAGGATATTGACGAATATAAAGCAATGGACTGTAAGTCAAAAACCAACCAACCAAAAAACACAAAACAAAAAACAAACATAGGTTCTCTCCTTAGATCTCGTAACACATTCCAATAAAACACAATTCACTTATCCTGCTCGAGTGCCACTTATCTCATCTACAGAATGGGAATATGTGTGCCCTATCTACTTCACAGGACTCTGTAATATTCGGGAGGCACTCAGAGACTTAAAAATGTTCTGTTGTAGTTCTGGCATGATCTTGCTGTTGGAAGCTGCCTCTTCCCAACTCTTACATGTGACCTTAGATCCTAATACTCATTTCCATGTCTTTTGAGAAAACCTCGTTGTCCAAACTATGGATGCTGATCTAAAAAACAATCCATTCCTTTTCAAAGAACTGTCCTAGACCAAAACTAATGGAACTTCGGCTGATACTCTTCTGCCTTGTAAAATTGTTTACCTTCCTTCCCTAAGGAATGATTCTTTCAAAAGTTTAAAATCCTATAGGTCATATCTCCACATTGATACAGTTGACTGTTCTCTGGGCATGGGGACCTCCTTCAAATTGAATGAACAGACATATATCCACTGTACAAGGACCATTTTGTGCTTTTTACCAGAATAATTAACACGGCTATCTTCTCTGAAAAAAGAAAAAGAAGCTAATATCCCAGTGGGTCATGTGCTTGGAGTTGTCTTCAAAGTAAATAAAGGCACAAGGATTTGTCTTCCTTGTGGCTTTCCTGTGTTTCTAGGGTGGATCTGCATACAGCTCACCTCAGGAATGTAAAAATGGGGGTTGAACTTGACATCCTCAATATTAGAATTTAACCAACTAAGATAAATGGCCAAAAATAATCTATTATAGCTTAAAATGAAAAGGCATTTCATCTGACAGTATGCCAGTGTATCTATCAACTTACCTAGAAGTTAAAAGATAAAACTTGCAGTTTTTCTTGACCAAAACATATACAAAACAAAACAAAACAAAAAACTCAACAGATATTGGCATCTAAACATGACTGCAATATTTGATGAGGCAGTAACATATTTATCAGGCCACAAAAATAAAATATATTATAAATTCTTCTTGCACTATTAAAGGACCAATAATATGACATAAAACGTGTCATTTTTGGGGAAAAACACTTAACAGACTGCTTATTTAATAAAATTGTTACTAGAAAAAATCAAATAAAAATGGATTGTGTGTATAAGCTTCAAGTTGCGTACCAGCTTTGGTGTGCAAAGTCACCGCAAGAAATGAGAGTCAAAAGTGTTAGCATAGGAAAAGGCAATGGGGACCGGGGTGCTTACCTGTCATGGCCTGTTGGTCATCCACCGTTAACTTTAAACTTTTTCCACGCCGAACTACACGCACTGTGTGCCACTCGTTATCATTGAGGTTATAGCCGGCAAAAAGAGTCTCGGGACCTTTGCCTGTAGAATATGCCAAACAGTCATTATGGACCCTCAGAATCAGTCAAGCAAATGAACCTCACAGAGAGTGAGAGAAAGAGACAAAGCAGTGGGGAAGGTGAGGGACAGGGTAGAGAGAGAGAAGAGAGGAAGAAAGAGAGAGAGGAGGGAGAGAAAGGAGAGAGAGAAGAGAGGTGGGCTGGACCAATTTTCAAGCCCATTAGAGTCATAGCAAGCAAGGAAAATGACAAATTTATAAACATTCAGGTGTGACCATTTAAGAATCTTTAACCCTACGTATTGATCTATAACAAGTAAATTAACCTGCTGTCATAAATAGGCACAGTCAATATAGAACTGGGAACCCACCCAAATTTAAACACAGATTTTAAAAATAAATTCTCTGATTTTTAGTTACCACTTTCCTGCGAACAAAGTGTCTAGCCATCACATAACCTCTGAGTTCTAGAAGGTATCTGACTGCAGCTCATAAGCTAATCATTTTCAGTGAGATAAGTCTTCCAGTAGACTCTGGGAGAAGGTACTATCTTGTGTGATAGCTGCTATTCTGCTCTTATACCTGGTACCTACAGTGCTCAACAAGTTCTTAGGTTCTTTAGCCTCCTAAATGTATGGAACGTTGAGTCTAAAAAAACATAGAAATAAACCTTACAACTAATTGACCTGTATGTCACAAATCTCTCTGTGTGTGGTGGAGGCACTTCTGGCAAGTGTAGGTATATGTATTGACTCACAGTAAGTGGACTGAAAAAAAGGAAAGAAAAAAAATAGGCACAGCCAATAATGGGCCAACTGTTGAACATAAAGGAAAAGTAGTGATGTTAACCAACAGTAGAGGACAAGGGATTACCAGTGGGCAGTGAGTGGGCAAGAAGTATAACTTCTTGTTATACTTCTAGTGAATAACTGCTAGTGAATCTATATAAACCTACGCAAATGAAATTTAAATGGACTCAGCAGAGACATATTATTTCAGAAAGCTGTTTGGTAGAAATTATTCAAATGATTAAGTTAGACTATATCCCTCACCTCAAAAAAAAAAAAAAAAAAAAAAAAAGCAAAGGAAAATGCTTCTAATATAACTGGATAGTTTTATTTAAAAAATAAGTATTTCTACTAATCTGACATTATGAGTCATTGAGAAAAAACAACATTAAAGATACATTGTTTGGTAATGATTTTTTTCCCTGGTGTTTTTTTTTTAAGTATGGAAACATGGTGGTACATTAAAATAATGAAGGGCATTATATCATTGAGTTTCATGGCTTTCAATGGATTGAGAATCAGGATTGGAGTTCACAATTTGTTTAACCAAATTCTGCCAGCAAAACCAATTAATGCCCAAGGATCACAGGAGGATATATGAGAAAGTAAAGATACAGGCCAAGGAGAAGAAGAAAAGTAAAAGGAGAGCGAGAGAGATCGAGTAAGAGAGAGAGAACTGAGTAGAATAAAACCTGAGTTTTCCATCCACATGAGATCATTGTTTGCTTTCAGAACTACAGCTTATCCACCAGCCTATTGATTTCTCTCTTATGGTGCTACTAATAATTCAAGTGTTGTATCCTTGGCTGGTATATCTCAGGTTAGAAATGAGCCAGTGATATGAGGTAAATTTTACAGGATGAATTGCCTCAGTTATTTATATCTTTTTGTTTCTTTAGAGAAATTAAATTACAAATCCAGACACATGAATTTAAAACTATTCTAGATATAACAGTTTTAAGAGATTGATGGCTAAATAACTAGAGAAAGCCTGCTAGTCCAGCAACTGCAAAATACTTTGAGATCAAATGTTGAAAGCAAGTTCCAGGACGAAAAAAAAAAAAAAAACACCTCTTTCTAAATTCCATAGTGAAGAAGGAAGTGTTTAATAACTCTGCAGCATCTTAGCATCCTGCTGGCAGTAAGGGTCATCTTTCATTTTGATCCTTGAAAAGAGAACATATCATTTTATAGCTATTTTTACAGGGGATTTTTTTTTTTGTTAGAAATATGTGCTTTTGAAGCAGCTTCACTTCTATTCTTTTCATTTTTAAATATATTTTGTCAAGGAAAGGAAGCATACATAAGGGTGATATCATCGTTATACCCCATCCTGGGCTTGATCTTGCAGTAAAGTCATAACGCTTAATCTATGCAACAACTATTTCCATAACAACAGGCACAAAATCCAATTAAAAATAACCCTTTGGTTCATAAAATTCTCTGTGGGCCAAATTCTAGCTCCTTTCATGAATTATTAAAATTGTGAACAGATTGATTTTGGAAGATAAGGTTTTTAAAAAGGCACTTAATAGTCTCACTTCAAAACAATGTTACCCATGCAGCATGAAGTGTAATGGAAAGTGCACTAGACTAGGGAGTTAAGAATTGAGGTTGCTAGATCATGATTTGCTACTTAAAAAGAAGTTGGGGGTTGGGTAGTGCTTAATATGTAGCAGGCTCTTTGTCTGTTGTCTAGTTTCACCTTTACATTATTAATCTACAGATGTGAAACTGAAGGCCTATAAAGCTAAGACTACTTGTCCCCAGGTCACACAGCTAAAAGGTGGTAGAACCAAGTTTCATCCTTGGCCTGACCTCCTCAAAGCCTGCATGCTTTTCCCTGCATCATCCAGCCTCTCAGTTATGAGACTCTTTGGCTAACAACTTAACTTCTCACTTTCCCCATATCGGAACAAAGGAGGTGGCTCTTTGTGGTGACTCCCAGCTCGCCCTACAGAATGATCACACTGCTAGCAAATCCTACACATCCTCTGGATAAGTCCTGGTGGAAGCAAATCTCTAAGTAATACAATGTCTACCTAGGGATGCTGAAATGACTGCTCCTAAAGATATGAAACAGAAGAAGGAACATCATTTTAGGACCTGTCTCCACCCATAATCAGCAATTTGCTAACACACTCAACTTCTGGTGCTCTCAGCATTCCCATCCATAAAGTGAGGAGAGTTTCCAGCTAATCTTTACAGTTCTTTTAGAATTTCACTTTCTCACAGAATTCAACATATACAAACTTGTTAAAGAAAGATGGTTTAACTGTTGAAATTTTGAATTTGAGAGTTTATCCTCTTGCCATATTTTTAATAGCAAAATTATAGTAACTTCAAGCTGTTAATGACTTTTCAGGATTTCCTTTCCTTCAGGGGATATCAAACCGTGTATCAATTGTGCCAACGTCTTTCTCCCTGCATTAATGCACTATAGACTGAATGTGTGTGTCCTTCAAAATTCAGTATGTTGAATTTCTAACCGCCAATGTGATGGTATGAGAAGGTGGGGCCTTTGAGATATAATTAGGTTTAGATGAGGGTGGAGCCCCATGATGGAATTAGGGCCCTCATAAGAAGAGGAAGAAACACCAGAGCTTCCCCTCTGCCATGTGAGGTTACAAAGAGAAAGCGGCTGCCTACCAGCCAGAAAGAAGGCCCTCACCAAGAGCTAAATCTGCTGATACTTTGAACTTTGACTTCAAGTCTTCAAAAAACTGAGGTGGAAAAAAAAAATTGTTTTTTAAGCCATCCAATCTGTGGTATCCTGTTGTAATAGCCCAAGTCGATTAACACTGTGGACAATATTTTAAAGACTTTTAAGAAAGTCTATAGCTGGCCAGGTGCGGAGGCTCATGCCTGTAACCCCAGCATTTTGGGAAGTCAAGATGGGAGCATAACGAGGTCAGGAGTTTGAGACCAGCCTGGCCAACAGGGTGAAACCCTATCTCTACTTGAAAAAAAAAAAAAAAGTAGCTGGGTGCAGTGACAGGCACCTGTAATCCCAGCTACTCAGGAGGCTGAGGCAGGAGAATTGCTTCACCCCAGGAGGTGGAGGTTGCAGTGAGCCAAGATCTCGCCACTGCACTCCAGCCTGGGTGACAGAGTAAGACTCCATCTCAAAAAAAAAAAAAAGAAAAGAAAAAAAGAAAGTCCATAGCCTTATTTCTATTAAAAGACATCATTCCTTATGTTTTGTGGGGAGTTTTGATTTGTTTGTAATTATACACTTGAGTTTTACTGTAACATATTATTTAAGTCATAGAGGTATTAGGTTTTCATTTTATAGTTAAAGAAGCAGATTTAAAAGGATTGAGTAAATTATTAAGTCTCAAAGACAGTAAGAAGTAGAGAGAAAACTGAGATTTTGATTTTCTATTTTCATTAAAATGTATTTTCCACAGAAAATGATCTGCAAGTTGTGTAAGAGGTACAATGGGGCTGAATGCCCACAGTTAATATTTCACCAGACCAGGTCAGAATTCAGCTTTACAGGCTAATGTTATATTAAAGAATTTTAGAGCTAGGAGGGACAAGAGAAGTGTAGAATTTCAATCATCATCTACAAATAAGAAACATGAAGTGCAAAGACATTAGATGATGTTCCCATCGTCACAACTGCTAAATGAAGAAGCCTAGTTCTCTAGACTGTCAGTCTAACAAACTTTTTTTTTTTTAATTTATTTTTAAGACAGAGTTTCACTCTGTTGCTCAGGCTAGAGCGCAGTGGTGCAATCTTGCCTCACTGCAACCTCTGCCTCCATGGTTCAAGTGATTCTCCTGCCTCAGCCTCCCAGGCAGCCGGGATTACAGGCACCCACTACCATGCCCAGCTAATTTTTGTATTTTAATAGAGATGGAGTTTCAAGGCCAGTCTGGTCTCGAACTCCTGACCTCAAGCAGTCTGCCAGCCTTGGCCTGCCAAAGTGCTGGAATAACAGGCGTGAACCACTGTGCGCCCAGCCCTAACAAACTTTTAAAACATTATTCTGTTCATTAGACAGTGCTGATCTAGAATGAATTTCTCAAGTCACACCAAAATCTGAGTCTGAGTTTAATAAGTCTGTCAGTGCTTTTCAACAGAGTTTGACCTAATCTGTGGTCTAACTGTTTTGTGCCTGGTGATTTTCACTGGGTCTGCTGATGACCCTGTAGCTAAAACTTATTGATAACAGATGGAAGTAGAAGCAATAAACATTTCAGTTTCCCCTGATTCAGTGTAAGTTGAG